TACTGGGGATATCCCTTCTCCCTCTTTGAAAGCAAGACAGCAGACCTACCATATTGCGCTATCCTGAGGAGCTCAAGGACTTTTTGCCTGTCACTAGATATTAAAGTTCTGCCACTCCAAGCTGGTCTGATATGGTACTGTGGGATTTCCCTATGCAGCCACTGTGGCAAAAATTCACCTGAAAGAGCCCTAGATATGAGTTTGGCAACCCAAGATAGAGCTCTTCCAGATTTGAAACATTGCATTGGGCCCAGTATGGACATATCTCTAGCAATTGTGATGACTATGACTGTTTTTGCTGGTCTGCCCTGTTTCTTCCCTTACCCCTTTCTTTCCTCTCCTTCCACTTCTGTTTTTCCCAGTTCAGTGCTATGATAATTTTTTGTTCCTTAACCGCTTGCTGACCGCCCTATAGCAGATATACTGCTACAGGGCGGCACTGGTGCGCAAAATCACGTATATATACAGTTGTGTTCAAAATAATAGCAGTGTGTTGAAAAAAGTGAATAAAGCTCAAAATCCTTCTAATAGCTTTTGTTTCCATACACACAAATGCATTGGGAACACTACACAGTCTATTCCAAATCAAAACATGAAGAGAAATATATCAAATTTGTGTTGTTCCTATAAAAAAATTGAAGACAAGTGAATATTAGACTGTTCAAAAAAATAGCAGTGTTTGTATTCTTCTTTACAAACTCAAACATTCACTGTATAAACTGAAAAATGTTTGAAGATTTTGCTTTCCTTTGAATCACTTAATTAATATTTAGTTGTATAAGCACTGTTTCTGTGAACTGCTGTACATCTGTGTTGCATGGAGTCAACCAACTTCTGGCACCTGTGAACAGGTATTCCAGCCCAGGATGATTGTACTACATTCCACAGTTCTTCTCTATTTCTTGGTTTTGCCTCAGAAACTGCATTTTTGATGTCACCCCACAAGTTTTCTTTTGGATTAAGATCCGGGGATTAGGTTGGCAACTCCATAATGTAAATCTTGTTGGTCTGGAACCAAGATGTTGCACATTTACTGCTGTGTTTGGGGTCGTTGTCTTGTTGGAACACCCATTTCAAGAGCATTTCCTCTTCAGCATAAGGCAGCATGACCTCTTCAAGTATTCTGATGTATTCAAACTGATCCATGATCCCTGGTATGCGATAAATAGGCCCAACACCGTAGTATGAGAAACATCCCCATATCATGATGCTTGCGCAACCATGCTTCACTGTCTTCACAGTGTACTGTGGCTTGAATTCAGTGTTTGGGGGTCGTCTGACAAACTGTCTCCGGCCACTAGACCCAAAAAGAACAATCTTACTTTCATCAGTCCACAAAATGTTGCGCCATTTCTCTTTAGGCCAGTCAGTGTGCTCTTTGGCAAATTGTAACCTCTTCAGCACGTCTTTTTTTTCAACAGTGGGACTTTGCAGGGGCTTCTTGCAGATAGCTTGGCTTCACATAGGCGTCTTCTAATTGTAACAGTCCTCACAGGGAACTTTAGACCTTCTTTGATCTTCCTGGAGCTGATTGTTGGCTGAGTCCTTGCCATTTTGGCTATTCTTCTATCCATTCAAATGGTAGTTTTTCGCTTTTCTTCCACGTCTTTCAGGTTTTGGTTGCCATTTTAAAACATTTGCGATCATTTTAGCTGAGCAGCCTATCATTTTCTGCACTTCTTTGTATGTTTTCCCCTCTCCAATCAACTTTTTAATCAAGGTACGCTGTTCTTCTGAACAATGTCTGGAACGACCCATGTTCCTCAGAATTTCAGAGAGAAATGCATTGTAACCAGCATGTACAACATTTGCTGCCTTCCTTCCTTAAATAAGGGCAATAATTGCCACCTGTTTTTCAAAGAATGAATGACCTCACTAATAGAACTCCACACTGCTATTATTTTGAACATGCCCCTTTCAATTAGTGATTCAAATACACAGAATCAGCAGCATGCATGTCATGACTGTTGGGTCTGTTGGATTTCTATTACTCTACTACACCTGCTAGTAAATTATTTGCCATGAAATATCATTTCTACCAAAAACAGTGATTGATCAGGTTAGTGATGTCTGACTGCTATTATTTTGAACACAACTGTACGTGATTTTTGCATTTCTGGTTTGGGGACACGCGGCGTACCGGCTCCGTCTTTTGTAGCCACGGCTGTCAATCACCGTGTCCGGCCAGTGATTACTTACCGGCGCCCGGTGATTACCAACGATCACCGATGGGGAGGAGGGCTGCTTTGCTTACTAACAGTCCTCCTCCCTGTCAGCTTGAGCACACTGCTCTGGATGGCTGTGCACAGCCCTGCAGAGCAGTGTGCTTACAGTGAAGCACACACCCCCCGCCACTCCCTGCACACAGTTATCCCTTTGTCCACCTCTCATGTTAACCTCTTCCTGCCCAGTTACATTAGTACAGTGTCAGTGCTTTTTTTTTTTAGAACTGATCACTGTATTGGTGTCACTGAGGATGTCAAGGACACCAAGTCAGTTCCCCCGTGTCAGAATGCCCGCTGCAGTCCCGCTATAAGTCACTGATCGCCACCATTATTAGTAAAAAAAAAAAAAAATCCAGTATCTATACCGCCATTTGTAAACACTATAACTTTCATGTAAACCAATTAATTTACACAGATTAGGATTTTTTTTTAGCAAAGACATGTCGCTGAATACATTTTGGCCTAAATTTATGACAAAATTAGATTTTTTTCATTTTTCTTACTGGACATGTTTAACCGCTTCCGCACCGCCCTATAGTAGAAATACTGCTACAGGGCGGCACAGGTGTGCAAAAATCATGTATATATACGTGACTCGCGCTCCCGCACTTTTCACACGCATGCCAGATAGCGTCAGATTGCCCGTCAGTACACCAGTACTCACATTTAACCCCTTTATTGCCAGGAACACGCTCACATACACAATAAACCTCCATTGCTAGTATAGTGTCTTAACGGATCAGTATATTTGATCAGATCAGCACGATACCAGCGTTCATATTAGTATTGTGTCCCCAAAAAAGCAGCGGTAGCGGGATCAGCCCCAGCACCTGTGTTTAGCCCATACGCTACCCCCCTCCCCTTCTCCCCCAGCAAGTGTAGTGTCAGTAGGTCACTGTCACTTGATACATTGCACACAAAACCACAGTGTTCACAGAATCAGGCCTGTTCTCTGTTAGCACTTGCCGGTAAATTTTTTTGTAGCGGTTCAAGCAGTCCCTGACTGCTAGTGTGCTCTTTTTCCCGTGAGTCGCACTAGGTACCTATAAATTTAGTGGCCAAAATGTCAATGGAAAGGTAGTCTAGTGAAGAGGCCTACATGATTCTTAGTATGTCAGACGAGAGCGAAGGGGAAGACTCACTGACACAATTAGCCTCAGAATATGAACCTGTAGACTGCAGCTGCACCATGACAAATAGCTCAGATGATGGAGAAGAGGTCCCTGCTAAGATCAGGCATTCCAAACTTATTCCCAGGTTGCTGAGACGTTACAATCGCATGATGGCTCTCATATGCAGCAGAGTGCCAGTACTAGTGTCGCTCTACCTTTTGGTGAGCACCAGCAGCCTAGTACATCCTTTTCTTATACCAGCACTGCAGTATCACTTGGTGTGGCAAGTCCCATAAGTGCAGTACAAGCTGGTGTGGTGGCGAGCACAAGTAGTGTCCTGCAGCCACCAAGAATTTGCACACAGGCCCATAGAGCCCCTAGTTTCCTTCCGGATATGCTTGCAAATCCTGATTGGTATCCCACAAATTCTGCAACACCCGTACTTCCCCCATTCACTTCCCAACCCGGAATTCAGGTGAAAACGGCAAATGTAACTACTCCCCTTGATTTTTTGGAGCTGTTTTTCACAGAAGATCTGTATGCATTGATTGTGGATCAAAGCATTTTATATGCACAACAGTTTATTGCCGCCAACCCAAATTCAAACCTTGCCAGACCATTCGCATGGAAACCCATTACTGTTTCTAAATTTAAATTTTTTGGGGGCCTAACGCTCAACATGGGCATTACTAAAAAAAATGAATTGCGGTTTTATTGGTCCACAGACCCGATTCATCATATGCCCGTGTTCTCTGCTGCCATGGCCAGGCATAGATATGAGAGTATAATGTGTGTTATGCATTTCAATGACAACACACTCTGTCGTCCTCGGGGGGGTGACCCTGAATTTTACCGGCTCCACAAAATTCGACCCCCTCGTAAATCACCTTAACCAAAAATTTGCAGATGTGTATACTCCCCAGCAAAACATCTGCGTTGATGAGTCCCTCATAATTATTCTGGCCACCTTGCATTCAAACAATTTTCTCCCCAGCAAGCATGCCAGATATGGGGTCAAGATGTATAAGACCTGTGAGAGGGCAACAGGCTATACATATAAGTTTCACATTTACGAGTGAAAAGATAGTCACGTGGAGCCCCCCGGATGCCCAGACTACATGGAGAGCAATGGAAAGATAGTTTGGGACTTGGTGTCATCCTTTTTCCACATGGGGTACCACTTATACGTGGACAATTTTTATTCAAGCGTACCACTGTTCAGACATTTGTACAATCTTGGAATTGGCGCATGTGGCACCGTGCGACCTAATCGCCAGGGCTTCCCCCAACAGCTTGTAAATACCTGTCTTAGAAAGGGGGAAAATGCCTGCTTGAGAAATGAGGATGTAATTTAGCTGCAGCACCGACTTGTTTATTCTGACAGCAACAGGGTCTTGCTCTCAGAATATACATAAGTAGGTGTGTGCAGTGCTGTTGGATGAGATTTGTCATCCGCAGTTAAAAAAAGAGCATATATGCCGAAGCATGGGGGCCTGGGGGTGGCCAGGGGTGGATGGCCCCTATGCTTTGGCATATATATTTTATAATATTTTTTGGCACATTTCATGTATGCCCACCATTAGAAGTGGGTGGATGCAGGGCGGTATATTCTAATGGTGGGCATACCACACACTTTTTCTGACAGAGATTTCTTCTCTTTTTTTCATTCAGCCCACAGGCTGCATGAATAAAAAAAAGAACATAACACATACACCCAACAAGGACCAGCGATGTACTGGTACAGCTGCAGCTGGTATTGTTTTTTTCAGCCGGCGATCGGCTTTCATGTAAAAGCAATGCTAGTGGCTAATTTGCTGCAGGATTGCTTTTACAAGCAGTGGGAGAAGATGCCCACCCCCACTGCCTTCCATGGCCTTCTTGGGCAGTCCCGTGCCATCAGGGGAACCTGAGAACGCAGCCGGTGTTTCTGCCAGCTGACCATAGAGCTGATTAGAGACTGGAATGGTGCCAATCATCTCTATAGTCTAAGAAATCGGAAGATACAAGCATTTCATCACTTCAGTTTTGCAGGATATAAACAGCGCCATTTGTATATTTGAGAAAGCATCTGATCACACCGATCCTGGTGACATTAGATAATGTAAGGGCAGAGGAGATATCTATAGTCTGAGCCCAGACTATAGACCCCAGATTTCTCAAAAAAGAATATATGACAATGCCCATTGAAGTTACAGGGGATATTTGCATTCCCTGTAATAGCAATAAGTAAAAAAAAAAAAAACAGTGTAAAAAACAGGGACAGTGTAAAAAGAATTAAAAAAATCGAAATAACTTTAAAAAGAAAAAAAAAAGCACCCTCGTGAGTGTTCACCCTGTGCCAGTATGTAAACAGCGGTTGCACCATGCATGTGAGGTATCGCCGTGAATGTCAGATCAAGGGCAGTAATTCTAGCACTAGACTTCCTCTGTAAATCTAAAATATTAGCTTGTAAAGGCTTTTAAAACATTGCCTATGGATATTAAAAATGTATGCAGTTTGTTGACATTGCACGGGGCATGCGCAGTTTTAAAGCATGTCATGTTTGGTATCTATTTTTTATTTTTTTTTTCAAAAAATTTGCGTTAAAAAAATTGCTGCGCAAGTACTATGTGACCTAAAAATTGCAGCACCCACCATTTTATTCACTAGGTTGTCTGCTTTAAAAAAATATATAATGTTTAGAGGTTTCAAAGTAATTTCCTAGCAAAAATGCTGATTATTTTCATGTGAACAAAAAGTGTTAGAAAAGGCTTGGTCTTCATGTGGTTAGAAGAGTGAGTGATGTATGGCATAAACATCTAATACTGGGCCTAAAATGCCCCACCTCCCAAAACAACCCGTTTTTTGGAAAGTAGACACCCCAAACTATTTGTTGAGAGGCATGTTGAGTCAATAGATGAATTACATTTTTTACCACAAGTTTTTGGAAAATGACAAAAATAAAAAAATTTATTTTTACACAAAATTGTCACTTAAATGATTTATTGCTCACACAAGCCATGGGTGTATGTGGAATTACACACCAAAATACATTCTGCTACTTCTCCCAAGTATGGGGATACCACATGTGAGAGACTTTTTGGCAGTCTAGCCAAGTACAGGACCCAAAATCCAATAAGCACCTTCAGGCTCTTAAAGGGCTTTATTTCCTCATTACACTTCCTGACTACCTATCACGGTTTCGGAGGCCCTGAAATGCCAGGACAGCACCAACCCCAACCCCCCCCCCCCAATGACCCCTTTTTGGAAAGTAGATACCCCAAGAAATTTGATAAGAAGCATGGTGAGTATTTTGCAGATCATGTTTGTTTGGAAAATGAAGAAAAAAAACAAAAACATATTTTTTTTCTTTTTTTAGATTTCAAAACCTTGTGAGAAAAAAATGAGATCTTCAAAATACTCACCATGCCTCTTTCCAAAAAGGGGTCATTTGGTGCTATCCTGGCATTTTCAGGGCCTCCAAAACTGATAGGTAATGAGGAAGTCACGCACCTTCAGGCTTTCAAAGTGGTCACTGGATTTCAGGCTCCTATATGTGGTTAGGCTCCCAAAAAGTTTCACACATGTGGTATCCCCATACTCGGTAGAAGTAGCAGAGTGTATTTTGGGGTGTAATTCCACATATACCCATGGCTTGTGTGAGCAATATGTCATAAGAAAAAAAATGTTTTTGTCATTTTCCAAAAACTTGTGGGAAAAAATATAAATCTTCCATGGACTCAATATGCCTCTCGGCAGATAGCTTAGGGTGTCTGCTTTCCGAAAAGGGGACATTTGGGGGTGTTTGTACTGTCCCGGTATTTTAGCATCTAAAAAAATGTGAGGGGCAGTCAGAAAGTAAAAGCTGTGTAAATTCCATTATCTATACTAGGGGTCTCCAAACTGCTGCCCATGGGCCGGATGTGGCCTTTTGCTTGGTTTTACCCAGTCCTTGGGGCACTTTTCATTCCACTGATATGAAGCATTATTCCTTCCATTGGCACCAACGGTGGGGCACTATTCTTCCCACTGACACCAACGATGGAACGCTATTCCTCCTACTGACGCCAATGATTGTGCACTATTCCTCCCACTGACACCAACAATGGGGCGCTATTCCTCCCACTGACACCAACGATTGGGCGGTATTCCTCCCACTGATCCCAGCGACGGGACACTGTTCCTCCCACTGACCCCAGCAACGGGGCACTGTTCCTCCCACTGACCCCAACGATGGGGCACTGTTCCTCCCACTGACCCCAGCGACGGGGCACTGTTCCTCCCACTGACCCCAACGATGGGGGCACTGTTCCTCCCACTGACCCCAACGATGGGGCACTGTTCCTCCCACTGACCCCAGCGACGGGGCACTGTTCCTGCCACTGACACCAGCGACGGGGCACTGTTCCTGCCACTGACACCAGCAACGGGGCACTGTTACTACCCACTGACACCAGCTATTGGGAATTAATTATCCCACTGACACCAACGATGGAGCACTGTTCCTAGCCACCAAACCTAGGGTATTGTTTACTCCCACTAATGCCAGGGCATTTTCTACTCCCACTAGTCACAATTCGGCCCCCCTAAAGTTTAAAGGGCACTAAACTGGCCCTTTGTTTCAAAAGTTTGGAGACCCCTGATCTATACCATAATTTGTAGATGATATAACTATGCACAATAAGTCAGCTTAAGCTTGGACAAAGCTTGAACAAAAATAGTTTTAATCTTAAACTGAGAAAGATGTTCTCTCTCTACTGTTAGAGCAGTGGCAATGTTGTACTCTCTTTCCCAGGAAGTAGTATAAGCTGAGGATTTGAATTCATAAACCATTTGGAGATCTTCATCAGTGAGCATTATACAGGGCTTTGGAAATTTAAAAAAAAGGGACAGAAGGTTGTTCCTGGGATTTCAGGAATCGGGAACGCTTTTTTACCCTTTTGCTACAAATTAGACTATGCTTATCCTCTGAATTAAACGCATACAGTATCTCACAGAAGTGAGTGCACCCCTCACATTTTTGTAAATATTTTATTCTCTTTCCATGTGACAACACTGAAGAAATGACACTTTGCTACAATGTAAAGTAGTGAGTGTACAGCTTGTGTAACAGTGTAAATTTGCTGTCCTCTCAAAATAACTCAACACACAGCCATTCATGCCTAAACCACTGGCAACAAAAGTGAGTACACCCCTACGTGAAAATGTCCAAATTGGGCCCAATTAGCCATTTTCCCTCCCCGCTCTCACTCTCTCATACTGCTCACTGGAGGTTCAACATGGCACCTCATGGCAAAGAACTCTCTGAGGATCTGGAAAAAAGAATTGTTGCTCTACATAAAGATGGCCTAGGTTATAAGAAGATTGCCAAGACCCTGAAACTGAGCTGCAGCACAGTAGCTAAGACCATACAGCAATTTAACAGGACAGGATGCACTCAGAACAGGCCTCGTCTTGGTCGACCAAAGGGGTTGAGTGCATGTGCTCAGCGTCATATCCAGAGGTTGTCTTTGGAAATAGATGTATGAGTACTGCCGGCAATGCTGCAGAGGTTGAAGGGGTGGGGGGTCAGCCTGTCAGTGCTCAGACCATACGCTGCACACTGCATCAAATTGGTCTGCATGGCTGTCATCCCAGAAGGAAGCCTCCTCTAACAATGAAGCACAAGAAAGCCCGCAAACAGTTTGCTGAAGACAAGCAGACTAAGGACATGGATTACTGGAACCATGTCCTGTGGTCTGATGAGACCAAGATAAACTTATTTGGTTCAGATGGTGCCAAGCATGTGTGGCGGCAACCAGGTGAGAAGTAAAAAGACAAGTGTGTCTTGCCTACAGTCAAGCATGGTGGTGCGAGTGTCATGGTCTTGGGCTGCATGAGTGCTGCCGGCACTGGGGAGATACAGTTCACTGAGGGAACCATGAATGTCAACATGTACTGTGACATACTGAAGCAGAGCATGATCCCCTCCCTTCGGAGACTAGGCTGCAGGCAGTATTCCAACATAACGACCCCAAACACACTTTCAAGACGACCACTGCCTTGCTAAAGAAGCTGAGGGTAAAGGTGATGAGCTGGCCAAGCATTTCTCCAGACTTAAACCCTATTGAGCATCTGTGGGGCACCCTCAAACGGAAGTTGGAGGAGCGCAAGGTCTCTAACATCCACCAGCTTTGTGATGTTGTCATGGAGGAGTGGAAGAGGACTCCAGTGGCAACCTGTGAAGCTCTGGTGAACTCCATGCCCAAGAGGGTTAAGGCAGTGCTGGAAAATAATGGTGGTCACACAAACTATTGACACTTTGGGCCCAATTTGAACATTTTCACTTACGGGTGTACTCACTTTTGTTGCCAGCGGTTTAGACAAAAATGGCTGTGTGTTGAGTTATGTTGAGGAGACAGCAAATTTACACTGTTATACAAGCTGTACACTCACTACTTTACATTGTAGCAAAGTGTCATTTCTTCACTGTTGTCACATGAAAAGATATAATAAAATATTTACAAAATGTGAGGGGTATACTTACTTCCGTGAGATACTGTATAGCTCACATAGACACATAGGGGTTGATTTACTAAAATTGGAGAGTGCACAGGTTTTATTGTCAAAGCTTAATTGAACAAGCTGAAGTTGGAAGCTGATTGGCTACTATGCACAGCTGCACCAGATTTTGCACTTTCCTGTTTTAATAAATCAACCCCATAGATTGAAGTTGGTGGACCTCTGTCTTTTATCAGTCTTATCAGCTATATAATTTCATAAGGAGGTGGCCAACTGTAGGTCAGATGTACCTTTCAATGAATCCTGAATGACCTCAGAAGCATGTCAAACTGATGCAATCAAAACAGGCGCAAAGCCCATCCACACAGGCTCTTATTCTGGCTTTCTTTGACCTCCTACTTGGAACAAGCCAGCAGCCAGTGAACATTGCATACTTAATCCAATTCTATGATTCACCAGGTAGAAAAGCTGACATTTCTAAACACCAGCAAAGCATATTGCAGTACCTAATTGGCTACATTTATAATAG